GTGGGGTAGAAAGTCAGTCAGTCAGTCAGACGCCAGTGTCACATTGGATATGTGATGCTAGTCTCATATTTGGGTCAATCAGTAATGTCGTCAACGCTGAGTACTGACTACCCAAAAAGCGGTTGAGATCTTCCAAAATGATGCGATACTCCCAATTCATAAGGACTATTGAATGAATAGTCAAACATATAGATAGGGTAATGCCTCAACGCACATTATTTTTTCTTCCTTTTTTTTCTGAAAAAGAGATGAGTAATCATGCAGAGATGAGATAGTCCGGAGAATGTTGTGACTACCGGAAAGATTGGTTAAGCAGGAGTAATAGGTCGACAGAGTCAGAACATGCAGCCTAGTTTATCTGAATAAACATCAAAAGAGAAAGCAAACTGAGATACATGGGTAACATTTTCGATCGAATTCTGACCTTCAGGGATCATGTCGATGCAGTTGCAGTGAATTGCCAAAAATGACTCAATGCTTTCATGATTATGGCAACAATGGACATGGAACAAAGAATGCTTTTCACAATGCAGCCTGTGATCCTGTCGGTGATAGATTATGGACTTGCCACGCTTACCATATCAAAGAGTCAGCTCATAAAACTTAAACGCATACAGAATGAAAGCCATGCGGGTGATTCTGGGATGTACAAGAGATACCCCGTAGTTTGTATGCGATATATACTTGCACTGCCTACTATTGCAGATAGGCTCAATGTTCTGCAAGCAAATTCATATCTCAGAGTAGCTGCGGACAAGAGGCACCTCCTGCATGAAGCCCTGGATAGAGTTAAGGGTCACAAACTGAAAAGAGGAAAGTCTTGGATGGCGCAAGTTGAAGACACAATTGGATATGTGTGCAGGCTTGATAAATTTTGGCGAGGAGATGAGTGGGTCAAAGTGTCCGATCATGTTTCAGACGTGTGTAGGGTTCTAATCACTTTGGGACGTGAGTGCAGGGACTTTCCAGCTGGTGCTGCAGAATCAGAAGTTAAACAAATGATTCATGATAATTCCCGCCCAAGTGATGTGATTTTATATACAGATGGCTCTGTGGTGAGGGGCAGACGAAGTGCATGGGGGTTCATAGCAATGGCGAATGGACGTCGCTTGGCGCAACAAAGCCTGGCATATGATATCACAATGTCTAGTTTGAGAATGGAGGTGGAAGCAGTCACTGCTGCCTTCCGCTGGCTTGAGAATCAGCTGTACACGCATGTCTTCATTGTAACTGACTCACAGAGCATGCTGAGAAAGGTGGAGACAGGCATGCTCTGTGCAGAGTGGCAAGCTCACTTCCGATGTCCTGGGTAGTTAGCATTCTTTAGATATTTTCTTCAGGTCATCCCGGTGTGTTGAGAAATGAGCAGATGGATGGATTGGCCAGTTCTGCACCACTTGGTGGTGAACTGATATATGACAAGTTGGATGTTGTAAGGGCCCTTTGGGAGCGAGTAAACAGTGCCGAGGAACTGATGGTTCATTACGGTCTGAGGAGAATGGCACTGCGAGGAGTTACAAGGGGATATGGCCCATGCTTGACAGCCAGGGGAAGGGCGAGACGGATATACAATCAGACCGTTACTGGTACCATCAGAATTTTAACTCTTCGCTTGCTGCTGAAGATGGGGACGGAGCGCTTATGGGAGTGACCCGAGTGCTGTGATGTCGATTCTTAATTTAACATTTAACATTCAGTTTACCAGAATAGTGTGTAACAACACCATAGTGGAACTTTTCAGTGGCAAAGTAGACCGTATTTTTGCGATTCTTAAAATTCACATGATAATGATCTGAAAAGCTAAACATCATCACAATTATGGTCTTCTTTTTTATTAGTTCGAATCAGTTTAGATATTATTTAGAGTATTGTAGTGTATGTTCACAACAGGCTGGTAATCTAACTTCTTGCCACATGCCCAAAATGGCTTGATATTTATGAGGTACAAAACACCAACCACTCATCATTTGCAAGTAACAGTTACACATGAAGGTAACACAGGCTTGTAACTGGGGCTTGGAACTAAAAGACCCAAGTGTCATAATTCACGAGTCATAAAAATACAAATGTTCCGGATTAGCTCTACATTCTCTGTAAAGAAGAACGGATGTTGCATACATTATCTGCACCTCGCAAAACAACCCAGCATTTATTGTATATTGTGCTTTACGTTAAGTAGTTTGCTATCAACAATCATACATTCGTGGAAATCAACGCAAATCTGTGTGTCGACAACTCGCTTGCAGCAGTAGCGAACATCCAGCATTTTCCACCAGAGTTTACAGTCTACAGTCGGTGAATGCTTATAAGAAGACAAAGAATCCAAAATGTCGGGTATGAAGATAAACCTGTGTTTCGCCAGCCTTAGTCCACATCATCCTCATGTGCAGTGCTGGTAGGCATAGGCTGTCATATATCTCTATCCCACACACGCGATCAGCATAATCACGGATGTCAGAGCTCTTGTCTCACCTAGTACATGCGACCAAAACATCTAGCTTTTTATCTCTGTACCTTCCCGTTGCTCTCTTTCCATCAGTCTTGCCAAATTATCGAGTCCATTCCTTCACATATGCTACAGGCGCCAACAAAAAGAGAAAGAGCTGAATACAATTTGTCTGTGCGGAGCCACAACCAAACACTTTCGGCCAATTTTATTTTATCGCACAGAAGATCTGAATCTGATTTGTCAATTGGGCGTTTAGAAGTGTAAGCAAGAAACTATATTTCACAATTTTGGACAGTTATTGCGGATTATTCTAAATTATAATATCGTCCTTGTTTCTTCAGTCAATTGCTCTAATCTCTTATTTATTATGTCTGTGCCTGTTTGGTGATTTTTGTTTTTTCGTCTCTTTTTCTCAGATAAATTTGGAGTCATCGAAATATTATATATATATATATATTATATATATTAATAAAATCAAATGGCTAGAGGAATATAATCAATATATCACTAGAGAATTTATGGAAGTAAAACCAAAAGTAAAAGAATAAAAATTAAATTAAGCTTCACTAACTGCCAGGCCAGCCCTATGTTAATTAAACAAGCAATGCCAAAAATCAGTATTAATATTAAAATTATTATAATTTTTGCATGGTCCAGAAAGATTATGATTATTGTCATTAAGAATTACTTCAGTAGTTAACTACTTACTGAGCTCATGGATGATACAGAGAGTTTAGGTTTAGATGATTGATCGAACATCATGGCACAAGGATAGTAACCCAAAAGTGCTCCGTTCCACTTATGACTCAAGCCTGAGTATGTAGATTCTCAGCGTAGTGCACAAACTCTGTAGCACCGGCAAAGATCATGAAATACTTTGGGTAGATTTTAAACTCCAAATTTTGCATGAGGGCAGCAGCGTTAGGCTGCTGTTTTTCAATTTCCAACTGCCAAGTGATTTTTTTACATGCACAACAATACACATGGGCGTCTGATCTCACTACCCAGAGACCAGGAGAAACTACTAGAAGTCCACGTGGAAAAAATCCCAGCCTTCACCGGGGCTTGAACCCAGGACCTTCAGCACTTGAGGCGGATGCCATGCCCTGAGACCACACAGCGCCCAGAGAGACTTAACAAAGCTCAGCAAGTCATTTATTAGGAAACATTGCTGGAGCTAGATATAACACACTGAGGAAAACACTCCTTTTAGTTAATGTAACTAAAAAGTCCTATCACTGGAACCCACAAGCAACAGAAAAAAACTTAGGCTTAAAATACATAAAGAAAAAAGGCAGTGATGAATAATATGGGGATGACATGGGGGAAGCAGCAGGAAAAAGCAAAAAAAGGATAGGTGTGCTTGGAGTGAGTTGGTCAAGGAATAATTGAGGAATAAACAGAAGATGGCATACTTCTCAGACATGATCACTCTTTATGAACCAATTACTAACTCAACAAAACCATTGTCTAATTTTACAGCTGAAAAGAAATCATGGCCAAGTCAACAACCATGTAAACTGAGTCGATCCACTGCATTAAGTGAACTGCAGCAGGAACTGTAGACAATGCTACAGCAGGAACTGTAGACAATGCTGTAGTGGGAACTGTAGACAATGCTACAGTGGGAACTGTAGCCACTGCTACACTTCCAGACTTGATTGAACTGGAGTGCAGACTGCTTAGTCCAAACTTTAGTTTACTATCACTATATTCTATATATCACTTCCATAGTTGAGAGAGAGCTTTAGATATGTATTTGTTATAGGGGCAATAGACCTACCTGTTAAGACCTACCTGCTCACAGCCCACTGGATTACACTTTCTCTTATTCTGCTGCAGAGAGCTGTTATATTAACTCATTTTATCCATATTGTTAGATTCTCTCCTTCAGTCCCATATAGTTCTAGATTTAACAGCTTCACACCCAAATATTGACTGCTTCTATTATAATTCTTTAGAATATATACAGTTGATATCTTTTTCGTAAGCTATTAGTAGCTGAGTTGAGTTGACATCTGTTTCAGAAGAGTTTCAGTCTGTGACTGAAAGAATTCATTTATGCTTAGCCCGTCCACATGTTCCAATAATCTTTCAACATAAATGTAATTTTTCAAGTCTAACCTTAAGCAGTCTGATCGCTATTTCTTGTCTTGTAATCAGACAAAGTATGCACACGCAATTTAATTAAACATACTAAAATTGCTAGCAGTATAGAGAATAAAGAATAGAGAAAACAATGGCAAACTACTGGATGTAAATTTGCCTAGAAAAACCAACTGTGGGCTGTTGGGGTTGGTTCTGCAAAGGATACGCAACTAACCTATAGAAAATAATGCCATTAACTTTCAATAATTTCACTGCTTCAGTTAAACTCTTACCCAGCCAGTCAGTCATAAATTAGATATAATTAATTTATTGTTCCCTGTGTCATAAGTACTTCTGTTTATGCTTAGTGGAAGTGGACAAATAAAGGTAGCCACTTTGAATGAATAAAATAATCTAGTAACTGGTTTTGCATTAAACACACTTTGTGACATTTACAGTGAAGATGCAGAAATATGAGAAACTGGAAAAAATTGGAGAAGGTAAGAAACTTTGAAATTTTTAGCAGCTTGACCAGTTTTTAATTAGTTCTGATCCATGCTTGTTTTTTTTTTTTTTTTCAATAAAAAAAAAATATTTTCACTATTTACTATAGTATATGTCGGCTCTGTGGCTAAGTCGATGCGAACACTTTGTAATGCCGGGGTACCAGGTTCGTTCCCAGCTGCGGGCAATACGCCTTGCGCTGGTTTTGACAGTGGTATTAGGAAGCTGACTGTCCAGAAAGCAGTGGCAAACTACTGGATGTAAATTTGCCTAGTGAAACAACACAACAGCCAGCGGCTGATGGGGTTGGTTATGCAATGTCCTGTAAAGGATACACAACTAACCTAACTATAGTGTGTCTTTAAAAAAAAGTGAAGATGCCAGAACTCACTTAAGGTATCTGTTACAGTAAATGCCTAAACTGAGGTGCTGTTACTGCATATTGTTGTGTACCACCAGGGGGGGGGGGGGGGGGGGGAAAGCACTGGTTATAATGATTATAACAATAATCATCTTTGTTTTCCCTTTTTGTTGCTAGGCTATATTCACATCAATTTTTTTAACCTACTGTTTAGTTGCTAGGCTATATTCACATTGATTTTTTTTTAACCTACTGTTTGTAATTTGTACACTATTTTTTTCTGACTAATTCAGATTTACATTTGAATAATTTTACTTTTTCTCAAGACTTGTCATGTCTATCAGATGCTTTTTTATTTAAAGTTTTTCTTTAGCTATTATTTTTTTTTTCTTTTTGAATTGTGTTACCCTTTGATGGTGAAGTTTATTTTTAATAGTTGTGCACATAATTATTTTTTGCCAAGTGCGCCTATCTCTTTTTGGTAAGTTAGCAGTTGGTCAGGTGACATTAAAAAGATGAGGAAACTGAAAAGGGCACCCTATGGGACGCAATCTATTGTAAGTGAGCGATATTTTTGATAGTAATTTTAGAGGATATAATCCATTATTTATGTTAATTAACATAATATTCTTTAATATCAAATTTTTTTTTTGAGATTAGGTGTATGGTTAGGGGTTAAGACTAGCCCTAACCCTAATCTAAATCCAAATCTTGACCCTAACCTGAAGCAATATAATTATTAAATATTAGAGAACACTATTATGTTAACGTAAACAAACCATAAATTGTGTACCTCTATGGTCACTGTAAGCAAACAATAGATTGCATCCCTGTTTTCAGTTTTGTCAAATACGATTCCGTGAATATCCTGGTAAAATGCATTTAGTTTTGACTTTGTTTACAATATATATATATACTAGCTGTACCCGGCCACGCGTTGCTGTGGCGTAATTTGAGATAGTCTTTGATCCCCCCCCCCACAACTAAATCCACCTAGTGCCCTCTCCCTCATCAAAGGTTTTTAGAAAAGAAAGACAATGGAAATCGCACCTGTCTAATGAAGTTAATGACGCAGTCAATGTCTGCGCCGACGTCGAGATAGTCCTTGATTGCCATTGCCCCCCCCCCCCCCCCCCCCCCCCCCTAATCGAAGGTTGTTTGAAAAAAAAAACAGAAAATAGAAATCGTGTTTAATATGGTTATTGTGGCAAATATAGAGATAGTCTTGTTTGCGGTACCTCGACCTACTCTATGTAATAAGGCGTTGGCTGAACGTAACTCGCCGGCGAATGGCGGAAGCCTTGCTTTCTGACTACGGCGGCGCATGCGCAATTACTATATATAAATATAATATATATATATATATATATATATATATATATATATATATATATATATATATATATATATATATATATATATATATATATATATATATATATATATATAAAAAATCAATGTTTGTGTGTTTGTTTGGTCTCTATAGACTCGGAAACTACTGAACCGATTTAGCTGAAATTTTCAGGATATGTTTGTTTGTGATACCGGATTTTGAACCGTCGTGGTTTGAAATTCAACCTGTCACTGTTAGAGATAGGTGACCACAATTTATGCCAAAATATACGCAACTAATATTTATAACTTTAGTGATTTCTAATTATAGCCACGTTAGTAATTGCGCATGCGCCGCCGTAGTCAGAAAGCAAGGCTTCCGCCATTCGCCGGCGAGTTACGTTCAGCCAACGCCTTAATACATAGAGTAGGTCGAGGTACCGCAAACAAGACTATCTCTATATTTGCCACAATAACCATATTAAACACGATTTCTATTTTCTGTTTTTTTTTTTCAAACAACCTTCGATGGGGAAGGGGGGGGGGGTGGCAATCAAGGACATTGACTGCGTCATTAACTTCATTAGACAGGTGCGATTTCCATTGTCTTTCTTTTCTAAAAACCTTTGATGAGGGAGAGGGTACTAGGTGGATTTAGTTGTGGGGGGGGGGGATCAAAGACTATCTCAAATTACGCCACAGCAACGCGTGGCCGGGTACAGCTAGTATATATATATATATATATATATAAACCCATAGATGGCTTTTGTTCTTCCAATCAAATTTCAAAATGAAAACTACCAAAAAAAAACTTGCCGTTTCATTTCCCGCATTTACTTCCACCTTGTCACTTAACAACTGTGTGAAACCAAAGTCATTGCAACAAAAAAAGCTGTTGCCATAATAAGCATGATTTGATAATGTAAACATTTTGCTGTGGGTTTCTTTTTTCTGTATTAATGCATGCATTTTCACAATTTAGGTACATATGGAACTGTATTTAAAGCAAAGAATAGAGAAACTCTGGAAATTGTTGCATTAAAGAGGGTTCGCCTTGATGATGATGATGAGGTATGTGAACCATTTTCTTATTTTTATATTTCAGGGTTGTTTTTTATGTAAGAAAAAGTAATCTGGTAATCTGGTAATCTCTGTTTCAGCTTCATAGCAAATGGGTCACCCCATAGTTGCTTTGCTCCTGTGCCAACAAAAACACACAAAATGTTTATCACAGTTCAAATGAAATCTGCAGCTCACAGTGTCACACCATGCACTCAACTCTGAGGCTGGGCAACGAAACTATATCCTTCCCTATTCCACTTAGTGCTACCGGGCACGAAAGTTTAACAGTTGACTGGTAGCCGAGCCAGGGCAGGCTAAGCAGCATGGCATGCTGTGATGTCCTAGAGCAGGGCTAGTCAACTCAGGGGCCAAACTTTTGAAAGCGGGGATCGTCAAGGGTCAGAGGCTTGAGCCTCAGCATAGGAAAATCATTAATTCAATACAACAGGTAGTGATCTGCGGGTATCGGTATGTATCATAAAATGTCTAAAAAGATGCTGTTACTAACCACCTAGTGTCTATTACAGTAGGGCCGAAAAAAATGATGCCTTAGAGAAATTAGTAATGTTACTGTGTACTGTTGTGTACGACAAGAAAAAAAGCCCTGTATGCATCAAAAATGGTTTTGGAAGTTAACAATAAAAATGATCTTTGATTTTTATTTTTATTTATACCAGCAGTGTTTATTTTTTGGTTTTTGATAGTAAATTTAAACTTTGTGTGTAGCAAAATATATCCTGGAAAGAAGTTTATGTGTGGTGTGGAATACTGTCTGCAACAGTGCAATGTATGACCTTTACCTTACCTTCTGTGTGCTTTCACCACTTTCTTCATTATAAATTTATGAAAATCATGTTGATTATTTGTTGAGTTTTTTTTTTTTTTTTTAAACTTACTTGCAGGGTGTGCCAAGCTCAGCTTTGAGAGAAATATGTTTGCTGAAAGAACTGAAGCATAAAAATGTTGTCAGGTATAATTCACACATACTGCATGCTTGAAGTCTAAAAGTTCTGCATTTTGTTTTTAGTTTCAAATTCCTCTTTTAATCATATTCTTGAATTGCACAAAGAGGCGAGTGTATAATGAAATTAGCAGTTTTTGAGGGGCCTCTTTACTTCCATACAGCTTTGAATATGGCATTATGTTCCCTTCCTAATGGCCTGTACAAAGGACAGTATTGTAGGCCATGTTCTACTGTTTGTACGCACAGCCCACATATGTTTATTACTGTTGATGTTTATGTTTTAGTTTGTAATAAATCTGCAAATTCTTTTTTTTTTTTCACTTCTTGAGTTAAATACTTTTATAGACCAGTGTACCCTAGATGAGTGATTTAGCTTGTATAATGCCACGTTATGTACTTCTTTTAACATTTCTTAGTGCCAACTTCAGGCTGGCTATCAAAGAGGATCTAAATACGTGGCCAGCAGTAAAGCATACTAGCAATTGTATAGCCTCAGCTTCCTTAGTTTTTTTAGAGCATATAATTGTTTACTGTGATCACTAACAAAACACCCCTATGGTGGCCTACATTAGACAGTTATGCCGGCGACATTGTGTTCTCACTCGTTAGGAGCGGCGTATATTATAGCTTTCTTGGACTTGTAGTATACAAGAATTTCCTTGAGCTGTCAGTGTTGACAAGCGACAAGCAGAAAAGCTTTGCTTCCATGGATATCATGATATCTAGATATCACGTTGTTCGCCAGTGATAGCACTTAACACGACACCCTTGTCATGTAGACCAGCCTAAGCAACCATGAATTAAAGGTCAACCAGTGTTAAGCTGAGCCAGACTTTGTAAATAGAACCGTTTTCCCATAGTGAATTTAAATAAGGCAGACACAAACAATCCATTCCACAATTTATTGCCAGGTGTATTTCATGGATTTCCTGGGATTAGACAACAATGGATCGCAAGTGACCAATTTGTATTTCAGTGGAGTTTATTCATTTTTTGCATCATTATATATTGATGTAACCCCATAGTAACCTGACGAAATACAGCGAAATATCTGTGGCAATAAACTTCACAATTTATTGTTTATGTCCACATTTTTAAAAATAAGACTATCTGTTTTTGCCATTTTGTTTGGCTTTGGTAACTCTGTGGTGATTAGGTTTGAAAATCTAAATACCAGGTTTTGATTTCCATGGCGGGTGGTTAAACAAAAAAAATCACCCTCATAGCTTATAGACTTCAGTGTAGGTTCCTGAGCCCCATGTATGGGAGGAAAAAAAGAATACCACCCCTTCCCCCAACAAGCATGTCATAAAGGTCAACTAATTAAGGCGGTTTGCTGCTTCGTTGTTATAGTGCATCTGCCTCAGGGGCAAGGAACATCAGGCTGCCTACAAATATGCCAGATCTGTAAAATGGATGTGCACGCAAAACTCTAGTTCTGAAACAGGACCACAATCTTGAAGTGGATGAACAAACAACTAGCCAGCCTCCATTGGGGAGAGGACACACATTTTTGTGTGTGGCTTTGCTAAAGGATCTCTTTGATTGCACCCATATTCATACCTCTGTAAGTGCCAGTCTCCTGCCGTAGAGCACACAAGAAAATTCACACACAGTGCACACAAAATCTATGGCATGAGTGAGGTTCCGTAGGAATGTAGACCAGAATGTTGAATATAGAATTAAAAATCAACATCACAGCTTTGGATATTCCTGTATGTGCTCAGACCCCATCTTCAACAACAAGCGCACAGTTCCAAATTCCGATGATACCAGTAACAACCTGATTGTATATGCCTTTCCTTTGAGCACTGAGCATTGGCCAGATTCCTTGGTCACTCCTCGCAGTACCACTCTCCTTAGAGTATAATGATCTATTTGTGGCTCCTCAGTGTTCACTCATTTGTATCCTACAAGAATCACATTCTATAAATATTGTATTTTTCTTCCTTCATAGTTTAAAGCTTTGCCATTTAACTATTGTTTTTTGAGAAAATAGGATAAATTTTATTTGAAAGTTATTACAGTTTTATTATGTTTACTAGATTGCATGATGTGGTGCACAGTGAGAGAAAGCTGACTCTTGTCTTTGAGTACTGCGATCAGGACTTGAAGAAATATTTTGATGCTTGCAATGGAGAGATTGATCCAGACATTGTGAAGGTACTATCTTGTTTAATTTCGTAATAGTATGATATATACAGTTTCATAAAAGTATGTTATATACAAGTTCATAAAAGTATGTAATATACAATTTCATAAAAGTATGTTATATACAAGTTCATAAAAGTATGTTATATACAAGTTCATAAAAGTATGTTATATACAATTTCATAAAAGTATGTTATACAAAATTTCATAAAAGTATGTTATATACAGTTTCATAAATGTATGTCATATACAATTTCATCAAAGTATGTTATAGACAATTTTATAAAAGTAGTTATATACACTTTCATAAAAGTATGTTATATACAATTTAATAAAAGTATGTTATATACAATTTCATAAAAGTATGTTATAGACAATTTCACAAAAGTATGTTATATACAATTTAATAAAAGCATATAGTGTTTGATTTAATAAAAATGTGTAATATTTTATTTTATAAAGCTATGTAGTATTTGGTATTGTAAAAGTAGGTAATGTTTGATTTCATAAAAGCATATGATGTTTGGTTTTATAAAATATATGTATTGATTGATTTAATAACAGTATGTCCTGTTTGATTTAACAAAAGGTTGAAATGTTTGATTTTATAGAAACATGTAATGTTTGATTTTATAAAATCATATCATGGTTGATTAATAAAAACCATTTTTTTATTTTTTATCTTGACAAAATACATAGGAAACCTGAACAAAAAGTATATCAGCGAACTTCACAATATAACAAACCTGAACAAAATGTGAACGTTGCGGCTATGGAGCCTTCAACAGCACATACACAAATTAGTCAATACTACACAAATAAACAATATTGCTTATCTTCGTATCTCGAAGCAGCCAGGTTGATGTCTAGTTAAAAGACTGGCGGGACACGTGGCAAGGGGGAAAATAAATATTGAAATATTGAAAACATATGAAACTTCTAAACCCAATCAGAAGTAGATTTTTGGCTGTAAAAGTTGACTAACTAAATAATTATAGTAATTACTGTTGTGTGTCTCCAAGATCTAGAAACCTAAGATTTGTCTCCCTTTAAAAAAAATATCATCATCATCATCAGGTGCCTTGCTGACTGGCACGAGTGATCACACCTCTCTGCATCATGTGATCTTCAATGGCATAGATAGGTTCTATGCTGGTGCTTTTCTGTGCCATTAAAAGGATTTCAAGAATTATAGCATGTGTGTTTCAAATGCACAAAGCATATGAAAGATATTGGACAAAATAATTTAAATGTAATTTAAAATTAACTCTTATAGTCTCAGTAAATTTGAAATAGGTATGTGATTGTCTCACACTTTGTAATTTCGACTAATACAATATGTGTTTTTTATTTTATTTTAAATTTATGTGTGGGTAAAGCATACTAACAGAATGTTGAATGTTGAATTAAGAATTGACATCACAGCACTCGGGACACACCCATAAGTGCTCAGTCCCAATCTTCAGTAGCAAGCAAAGAGTTCCAATTCCAATGGTGCCAGTAACCATCCAATTGTATATCCGTCTCATTCAACCCCTGAGTGTTGCGCGTCTGCCAAATCACCTGGTAACTCCTCACAGCGCCATTCTCCTTAGAAATGCTAACAGAAAAACTAGCAAGCTGGTCTTGCTCAAGACAGATGAAAACCATGCACTGATTATAGAAATTAGACGTAGCCAGTGTATTTTGACATGTGGAGGGGAGAAATGGACTAGATGACAACTGGCAAGGTTGATGGAAAGAGGGCAATTGGAAAGCGTAGAGATATATACATGGACATCTTCACCATAGGAATGGGATGAGATAAGTCACTGACCTAATCTATGATTCTGGTGACCATGTCATCTGACAAAACCTGACTGTCTGTACATATTGGTAGTGTATATGAGGATGTTGATGAGTATTAACTGAAAAAATATGGCTTCATAAATGGTCACTTTTGTTATGCGTCTAGACTCTCTAACAATGATGAACTCTAGATGTTTTTTGTTGTTGCCATTTTACACTGAAATTATTGCACAGCTAACTTGACTTGGTCCTTCTTTTGCAGTCCTTTATGTGCCAGCTGTTAAGAGGAATAGCCTTCTGCCATAGTAATAATGTTTTACATAGAGATCTGAAGCCACAGAATCTCCTTATAAATAAGGTAAAAAGTATTCTGTTTGTAAGGTCTAATCTGGTATTACTATTTTTTTCATTATTGTTTTAGCTCTCTGAAATTATTTTATCTGCCATATGTCAAGATTTCCTGGTAAAAGAAACCAAGGGAGGAAGTGAAGTGTTTGGGCAGCACATAATAACATAAGCAAAATCATCATCATTAACATTTTTGAGAGTTTTTGGAGAATCATTATTATCAGTGTCTTGCTCGAGACCAGGCGACTGGAGAAAGAAATTGGTTTTACACGTATATATACATTTTACAGGTAATTTAAGAGGTTTCTGTGATGTTGATTCATATTGTGTTTCCCAGAAGTTGGTTTCCATCTGTAAAGGAACTTCTTTAATATTGTTCACTAGTCATATTACTAATCAGTTATTTTCAGGTACCACTAATATTCAGCTCGGTAAGCCTAGGTGGCCATAGTTCACTGTCTCAAATGATCACCAGAATTATTTGTGATGTTATTGTTTTTGTTGGGGCTACACTATCCAAATATTTAACTCTTTTAATCTTTTTTTCTCTTGTTTCTTAAAGTTTGCCATTTGCCACCAAGTTTTCAAGATTATTCCATGTCATAAGATGTAAAGAATTGTACGATTGAGGATTCTGGATATTCAACCACAAATCACTAAACATTTAAAAATAATTTTATATATATATATATATATATATATATATATATATATATATATATATATATATATATATATATATATATATATATATATATATATATATATAAATGAAACTGTTGGAAATGAAAACATACTACAGAAAGAGATCTACTTAGTAATACCATACATATTCAGCTTTATAACAAAAAGAATACGGTACATGTGGCTCTGACAAGAACAAAAGACATGTTTGTTTTTTCAGGCCTAGTCTCTGAATGTATTGAGACAGCTAGCCTACCTCATCTTACAGCAAAAGACAATCCCAGTCAGCACAGATAAACATCTCATACAAAGCATATTACTTTCAACTCTATGCTACCAGTGCCAGATGTGGTCACTCACAACAGCCGGAATAGAAAAATTAGTAACCATAGAAATAAGATATCTGAGAGGGGCTGCAGGAGTGACCAGAAGAGATAAAACGAGGAAGAAGGTAATTCTAAACTACATACAAAGACAGCAAATCAAATGTGAGGCCTTTCCATATCAGGTATACACACAAAAAAAAAGAGAGAAGGATGTAGAGCATAAGGTAGACCAAGAACAAGATGGAAAGCTAACATCAGAGAAACTCTACACACTGCCTGATGTGTCTATGGTCGAAGCAGCTAGAAAAGCTGTGAAGAAGTGAAAAAATGGAAGTGAAGAAGAAGGAAAAGAAGTCCCTGAATATTTTGTAATCTCATTCTGTAAAAGTATAATTTAGATTTTCAAGAGACTAAAGTCTTGTCTTAAAATTAAGTAAAAATACCTTTGCAGAATGGAGAGCTGAAGCTGGCGGATTTTGGTCTGGCGAGAGCATTTGGTTTTCCTGTGAGGTTTTATTCTGCTGAAGTAAGTATGGTTATGTAAGTTTAGATTCAATATTTTGTTGCTTCTGAGCATTAAGTAGAACAAATTCAAGTAAGATGAAGAAATCAGAGTGATGAATGAGCAGCGCTGATATTATAAAGTAAATAATATGATATGTTAGACACATTCTGAGGTAAAAAATAAACAAGCGCAAAACAGTTCAAGGTAGCTAAACATAGACTTTAAATGAGAGAGCCAAATCCACTGAACTCAATTCCATCCAAGATATTTAAAAGACTGCACAGGATAGAAAAGAGTGAAGGAGTTTATTGCAAGCTGCATATGACATATAATGACACAACAGGGTGGTGATTATTATTTTTAAAAGATGTTCTTTATGTAAAACTATTTATTCATCTCTTTTAAGCGGCTTTTTATAAGTAAAGCTCTTTTTCCATATCTTAAGACTTATTGAGAATATTGTGCCTGCCTTATATATTTATAGGCCGATTGGCACTCAGTGGATGATGCCCTTTTTATCTCACCAGCCACCTTTACTTACAAGAACTTTTTTTCCCATGGGGACGATTAGACCCACTGCCAAGCTGTCAGTCATGTTGTAAAAGCTGTAAGAGTTAACTGAAATCAGATATGTTGGACTGAAAAGTGCACATATTGCCACCTAGCTGTACACCACAACACAACATGCCAGTTACCCTTTTAACAGCGAATTCAGAAGAAAAAACTGACTACAATATTTCTTGCTAGTTTTTATAAGGTCAGAGGACCTAATTTGATCCTGAAATCTCCAACAGGGATTCAAACACAGGGCCAACAAGCATTATGCTACCTCAAATTTCCTAGTACATTTACATATTACCAAACCAAAAAAAAGTGTTTGCTTGCACATCCATTTCACAGATCTGAATTATTTAAATGCAGATTTGTGGTTCCTTGCCTCTCAGGCAGATACACTCCAACTTCAGAGGAAGCCCACAATTAGTCGACTCTTACAACATGCTTTTTGGGGCAGCAGTGGCTCTGTTTTTATTTTCCCCACAATGGGGCCAAGGAACCACACGGAGAAAGTTCTAGTTCACAATAACCAATGTTTGATTGCAAAGAAGTTAAAATAACACTGTGGGCATAAGGAGTTAAACTAACAATTCAGATTAATAAAGTAATGTAACAACTGTCTGCGATAGAAAAGTCAGTAATTTTGAGTCTTGGATCTAACTCATGAATATATGATGAATGATTAGATGAACTCTCTAGGCTTGCGTTCTTAAAGATCCATTACCATGATTTTATAGAGCTACTGTTCAGGTGAGAATCTGACAGGAGCAAATCCTAGTCATCATGTTCAACCATATTACAGTTATATTATCTTACCCAGTGGTTATGAACTAACTTGTAGTCCAGTATTGGTGAGTAATGCACTGTGTGTAAGATGGGTTAAATGGTACTGGAAGAGTTAATATAAATTCTGAGGTAACAAATTATTTTGTGTACAGGTTGTCACATTATGGTATAGGCCACCTGATGTTCTTTTTGGAGCCAAGATGTATTCTACGTCTATCGATATGTGGTCAGCTGGCTGCATTTTTGCTGGTATGTAAAACTCCTTGAAGAAATGAAGGAGTTTATAAACACATATTGTATCTGTTTGTTTCTTTATCTTCTTTTTTTTTTCTTTTCGCTATCACATTCTTTGTGCACTTTATACCCCATTGAAATGTTGAATGTTGAATTAAGCATTGACATCACAGCACTCAGGACACTCCCATACACTCTCCATCCCCATCTTCAGCAGCAAGCGAAGAGTTCTAGTTCCGAAAAAAACTTCCCATCAGAGCTTAAATTTAAAGTCAAGAGGAGCAATTTCATTACACTAGATTGGCCCGGAATGTTCACATTTCATTTGTGTTTATCATATTGTAAAGCTCGTTGATCTACTTTTCGTTAGGTTTTAAATCTTCACATGATATTCTGTAAAAAAGTGCTTCAGGAAAACCTAGCAAATCATAATGCCAGTTATCAACCAGTGGATTGTGTGGCCAATCTTCCCCAGACTCTTCAGATGAGGATAATGATGATTCTGCATCAAAAACAGCAACAGTATCTTTGTCAGGTGCAGGCTCAGACACAATATCTTAAAAATCTACAGGCTTTGACTGAATACTCTTACTTGAACTGTCAGTATCAGAAACTGATGCTCTGGGGCTGGCAGCTGGCCGCGTAATTGCTGGTCAGGCTCTTTCTTTTTTTAGACTTGACTTTAAAGCGACATACTGTAGTTTCACTGTCGACAACGTATTTGTTGGCACCTCATAAATTTATCAGAGTCACTAACTGTTCACTAATATCTTCATCTTCAATTTCTGAAGAAAAATCAAGAAAAATTACTTGCTGAAGCAGAAATATTATGAATAATTTGACTGCGACGATGGCTGCTAGAATTTAACGCCATGATGAACATTTTGTCAGTGTGTACCATCATGGAAGCTCACAATGAAAATTCGACAGAAATGCACTGTAAGCACTACAAAGTTGTTTTTCTTAGAGACATAGAGAAATGAATGGGCTAAAGGCTTTAACTGAATTCATCACAAACATCATGTTTTTAACCTGATGGTGAGCATCCAAATTCACCATCACAAGTTTGTGATCATGGTAGCCAGACGTGAACGTCGTTCCCATAATGTGTGATCGTGTTAGACAGTGGGTTAATGAATATAGTTTATTAGCAGCTGTTTTAGATGTCCTGGATAACAAGTCATACATACATTTATTACGTCACTTTCACCTGCATATAATCCTGACTTTTACACATGCATGTGGTCATTTATTTTACTTATTACATACAAGCACACTTTGACATTCACACATGCATGCTTGTAACTTTTATGTATACCCACATGCATTCCTTGATGTTCTTCTATATATTCATTGCGTAACCTACACACATATATTCCTTACTTCCTGCCATCAGGAGCTCAGAAAGAGAACACAGAACAATGTTGAATGTTAGTTACACGGTTGAATTTAATGAAATTCTTGATTTAATATCTTTCCAGAACTGGCAAATGCTGGGCGACCTCTCTTTCCTGGTAACGATGATGATGACCAGTTAAAAAGAATATTCAAGTATCCTTATGAAAAAAACATCTCTATCTTTATGAAGTAGTTCAAAACATATTATAAAAGCAACATCGCATAGGAGAATTGTTTTTAAAATTTATGTTGCTCAGATTAAAATTAACATTAGCTCATGTACGTAGCAAAAAGCTCATGATTGTTACATTATCTGAGGCTTTTCTCTTCAATCCTCACCCATTTGAGGTAGAAGAGCTTGTGTATCCCTATGATTTCAGAAATAAAGTCAGAAGCAGCCTTTAACAGCATATCCTGAGTCAGACAGAGTGTAGGGTCATAGTTAAACTGAGAGAGAAACAAATCTGCTCTTCAGGACAGATCATTTAGGCCAGTTAAATGCTATAGAATATATGGCAGTCAAAAATGAATCGTCTCATAACATTCTAGATGTAGTAGCATAAGATGTCACTTATTTAACTTCTTTCTCCTTTATATATATTTATTTCTCATATAAATATGATTTATGATCAGTGACCATATTCCAAAGTTATTTACATTTCTGTGTGGGTTCTGGACCCGTATTGTAGGAGAAAAAACAAGAATGTTCTAAAAGCAACTAATTGGGGTTTGCTGATTTTGGACGTTTTGGGCCAAAAGACGCTATTATTGCAGGCTAGATGTAAACTAAAACACAACATGCCAACCACCCTTTCTAGGACAAATTTAGGACAAGAAGAAAATATTACTGACAGGCTATGGAGGTGACAAGAAGGAATGAGGTCTGCAACTAAACAATAAGCAAAAGTCCAGAAATGCAACAGTTACAGATCTAAGTTGAGATTATTTTCCTGATAATTCCTGCAGTATGCAAGAAAACCGGTTTCATTGACCAGCATGAGATCAACAGCAACAGCAACAAAAAAGAAACTTTCACAGTGCCCAAGAATTTACTAAAGTCACAAATAAGGGATGGGGTGGGGATTGGGCCAGGAAACAGACTCCATAGACAGCTGCTGACAATAGAATTTCAGACAGTCAGTTTAAAAACCTAGTATACATGGTAGAAGAAGAGTAACGGACCCTTGTCAAGCCAGGGCGTATCAGGTATAAGATGCTAGATTCAAAGTTGTACAGGCCAAGTGGCACTTGATGGGTGATGTGGTCAGCATCATTCTAGCTACCTTTACTTCCCAGGGCTTGAGCTGGTATACAGTTCAGTCTGGGTCAACCAAGGAGCCAATGTCGTTTTAACAGGAAGCATGCCACTGGAATGCAAATCCAAGATCTCTGACCCGGCAGGCAAACATTTTTGAGTATTCAGGGAGTAGCTGGTAAACTTTTTTCTAGACTCCAGTTTTATGTGTGAAAATTTATTTAAGTATTTATATTTAATGTATTTAAAGCATCTGGAGTACTAATATTCTGTTCATTTGACATGAGTTTATGTAAATACACAGCATAAATATGAGGTCAATCAAGATAATTGCATATTGAAAGTGTAAATGTCTTAACAGTAATTAGACTTTTAGGCACCCCAACAGAAGAAACCTGGCCAGGCTTAACTCAGCTTCCAAATTACAGGGTAAGCACAACTTTGGTATTCTTTCCTTCTTATTAAGTTTGATTTGCAGTCTTAAGATGTCTGGTTTACTTGTCTTATCCTGTCTGCTCATTCACTGACTTGGCAGCTGAGAAAGTTGCTTCTTGCCTGTCATTAAAAGATATAAATAAAACTGAACAAAAAGCAGATCAGCAAGCTTTACAATATAACAAACACAAACAAATAATGAACATTACGGCTATAGAGCCTTCATTTGCTCATATATAAGTGAAACAAAACCGCACAATTGCACAAAAAACTCTTAACTGATGTATTCCGAAGCTGTCACGTTGATGTCTTGCCAGTGGAATTAAGAGACACGTGTGGCTGAAGAATAAATACCCTGGGAATGCCAAGGGCTGAAACTCGAGAATTTTAAATGAAACTTTGTTGACAATTATGTCCCCTAGATGTTTGAGTCCCCAAGATGAAAATAAAGTGATCTTTGACAGACTTGTGGAATCTGTTGCTGGAGTGGCTAGATTTAATAGGGGTCGCCCCCATTCGTGGACACCTTGGTGATCCTGAGAATTGAAGTGCAGCAGTAATGGTTTCAGTACACCTTTCTGCACATCTAAAAGATATTGTCTGAACCTGTCAGCCAGTTGTAGTCTTGTTGCCTGTCATTAAAAATTTGTGCCATCTATGTTTCTCTGACCAGTTAGATCTTTTGTAATTTTCACATATCCCTGATGTTATCCATTCATCAAAATCTAGATCTTTCTTGCATTCTGAAGCAAATAATTTATCATATTATATTATATGTACAGATGCTTACAAATGTGAGAGGTGCAGTATTGGTTGTGCTCATGTTCAAAGTTGAATTAAGAATCAACATCACAGCACTTGAGACACCCCTATAAGCGTTCCATCCCCATCTTCAGCAGCAAGCGAAGAGTTAAAATTCTGATGGTACCAGTAACTGTTTGATTGTATGTTATTTTCTATGGTTGTGCTCATAAGGTAAACAAAGAGTATTTGCACTGTAACCCTTTATATATAGTGCTAAAATTGTTCTGTTACTGTATACAAACAGTTCATCGATTCGATAAAACTTCTTTCTTAGCCATTCCCAATGTACCATGTTAGTACAACATGGCAGCAAGTGGTTCCGAAGCTCAATTCAAAAGGCAGAGATCTCTTGCAGGTATCATTCGTAATGTCTTGTATTAGAAATGTCTTTCCAGTCAATACATAGAAAATATATTTAGCATGTTGGAGAAAAGATTAGACGGAATAAAAATGAAAGCACAGTGAATAACTTTAGGAATGCAAATAATAAAGTGTTATTGGCAGGAAATTAGCAAGTGTACCTGACTTTGAAGATGGTGTGGATTAGACATTAATATTGCTCGTGGGGCTTCTGGCAATTTCGTATTTGGGGAAGGAGGGGGGGGGGGAATAGATACACTGCCCCCACCACATAACAAGCATGTCAAAAGAGGTGACTAATAAGAATTTATCTGAAATTGAGTGTGTTCCGCCAAAAGGCTCAGATATTGCAGCCCAGCTGTAAAACACAACAAGCCAACCAGCATTTTAATGGTGAATGCAGAAGAAGACGACATTAATATTGACATTTTAACTGGTAGTCAGCATGAGAAAAGAGAAGTTACCAGCTGATACCCTGCTGAAGCAGAGATATTAGAAGAACATTGTAATTTCTTCTCCTTTCTTGGTCACATGATGATGGCTGCGGAGCAGCAGAAAGATAACAGAAATGGTCAAAACTAATTTTAACAAACTGAAAAAGAAATAAGCACTGGCAGAGATAACCATTACATTGCAAATGAAAAAAAAGTAGATGTTAAAATTGAAAATTAAAAGAAAAAGAAATGGAAGTTGGCAGGTAATTAAAAAAAAAAAAATATAAGATATACAAAAGAATAAGTCCTTTTCCTAGAAACAGAGACAAGCCGGCATAACAGTCCAGGAAAAGCAGAGTTTGAAAAAGGATCTATAAAAAAAAAATATATATGTAGACAAATCACATATTTTGGCACAATAATTGACTGTTCACGCAGTACATATACTAAAATTGGAACGATGTAGAGAAGATTAGCATGGCCCCTGCGCCATAATAACATACAAATTCTTGAAGCTTTCCATGTTTTCTGGGTCTCCATAACAAAGTGGTCAAGCTGTTTGCCTTGCGCTCTGAAGGTCCTAGGTTCGCTGCACGCCTATGCCCTTTCAATTCACAATTTGTACGGAAATAACTGGATCATGACCAGAACTATGGAGTTCGTACTCTGCAGCTAGCCGTTCTGTGGGGGAGAGACCGATCCGTATGGGATAAAACCCGGTGCAATGAAGTCAGCATTAATTGACATGGTTATCCTCATCGTTCTGAGTCCTTTATACATCTTTTATTGCTAGCATTGGATTTTTTTGTTCTGTTCTCTAACTTTGTATAATAATTTCTATATAGATGGAATCCAGGCTGGCACCTTTGACCTCTCATCAGTGCTTATCATGGGATTTCTCATTTCTCTTCGGGGTCCTTAGTTCCTCAGTTGATTTGTTTCTCTTAGAAGTACTTGTTTGGTATTAATAGACATAGCGCTTTTAGAAAATCCAAACTTGACAGACAGATGTTACATGAGATTGGCATATCGTCTTTCTGTGCCTGGCAGTTGGTTTCGGCATGCTTTTTCATTATTTATTACCTATCTCTGACTCCTTTGGCCCACTGTCTGTGGAATGCAGTGCTTTTAGTATGTCTGTCCTGTACATACTTCTTCCTTTACTTCTTCCTTTACCAACTACTGAAGACTTGGCTAGTCTGTCGGCTCTTTCATTTCCTTACACCCCCAAATGTTCTGGTTTGTACAGCTGAGATACCAGGATAGTTTCTTTTAGACAGGACTTCAGGATGCACTATTCCAGTTGGGGTTTGCCAGTTTGAGCATTTTTGTTAAAGAGTTAAGGAAGTATTACCAAAAAACAAAATTAAGATATTTATATTATGTGTACATGCATAAAAGAGAGAGTAATTGTTTAATTTCACTGCATTTTAAATGTTTCATTGCAACATGGTTTTTCTATTATTACTTTAATAGAAACTTCTGGTGTGCTACCCTGCCGACAGACTATCAGCCGAGGACAGCCTGCAGCACCCATACTTTGTTGATGTGAATCCAAGTGTCAAATAGACATATTGAAAGATTAGTTTGTAGTGCTGCAGTGAGCACTTATATATATATATATTATGTGTATGACCGCCTCTTGTGTGATAGTATTTGGTTTTGAAATTTGCAACAAAATACATGCCATATCTAGGGATCAACATTTCATTAGTGTGATGTTTGTGAGAATTTAAAGTAAATTTATTATTTGATGTCTCATTTGTCTTTTGTGTTTGTTTTTACGTTTAAATGTTTTCTTTATGGATATAGATCATGTTTGGGATGTGAGGTTGAGGATAAATGTAAGTATCATGGCATGGCTGAAAATTTATAGTGTTAAGAAATTACAAGGTTTTATTCCTACCATAGGAATGTATGATTTTAGGAGACCTTTTGATTTCTGCTTATATCACATACCTTCCTCATTGTTAGTGCAGTGATCAAGTACCTGGCTTTCTCGTGTGTTTCAAAGCACCATTGTGGGAGAAGAGAACCGAGCCACTAACCCATTAACAATCATGTTGTTACAGGTAACTAATTAGAGGCGCTTCCTTTGAAGTCAGAGTTCATCTGCATACAAATAAACTAAAATCAGTCAAATGGATATGCACACAAAACTCTAGTTCTAGGACACGACCAAAGTCCAGAAGTGGACAAACAACCAGGATTTTCCACCAGAGTTTACAGCTGGTGAACACTAAAAAGATAAAGATGCCTGGCTTTCACTGCTAAAGATGGTAGGAGAAAGGAGGTCTTTAATACCAACTCTCATGGCAACTGCAAACTGAAAGTGGCCACTTCCCTGAAAAAATTGTTAGGAAAGAAAACAGAGAAAGGAGGTCTTTAATACCAACTCTCATGGCAACTGCAAACTGAAAGTGGCCACTTCCCTGAAAAAATTGTTAGGAAAAAAAAAACACATGGGTAGATAGGCCAGCTACCTTGGGCAGAATCTGTCTTGAAGAATAAAGTTTACAAAAGCCATGCTAATTTTGGAAACATGAACCTCCCTGTGTGGGTTCCTGGGCCCGTTTTTGTTGGGAAGAAAAAAAACAGACCCGCCACCTCCCTAACAAGCATGTCATACTAGGCCACAAAATAGGGCTGTTTCCTCGGAAGTCAGAGGGCATCTGCGCATGTGCATGCAAAACTCAGCTTCTAGAACAATACCAAAGACCAAAAGTGGATGAACAGTCAGAATTTTCTGCCAGCGTTTAAATCAGGTGAAAATTAACCATAATAAGATACCTGGCTGTGTTTGCTATAGGTGGGGAAGAAAGATCTTTTCTGCAAACTTTCACGACAGTTGGAAACTTCAGATTGTTAAGTCACAAGGCCACTTCCCTGAAAATGGTGTTTGGATAGAAAACATTCCCATAGGTAGGGCCCACTACTTTGTATTGAAAATGTCTTGAAGAGTAAAACTTACAAAAAAAGCCTGCTTATGTTGGACACATGAACCGCCCAGTATGAATTCCTGGGCCCCATTGTGGAAAAGAATAGACCCACCTCCACCCTAAAAAGCATGTCGTACAGTTCCACAAAATAAGGCTGTTTGCTTCGAAGTTGCAGTGCATCAGCCTGAGAGGCAAGAAACCAAAATTCTGCATGTAAACTAGGTCTGTAAAATGCATATGCATCCAAAACTCAAGTTCTGGAACATGACCAGAGACCAAAAATGGATGAACAGCCTGCATTTTCACTAGAGTTTACAGCTGAGGAAGGCTAAGAACAAAAAGGATTTAGGAACCCACATGCTTCAAAACTAAGAGTGACTCTGCCCACACCAGGGAAATGAATGAGAAGATCATGTTTGCATCGTTTTTAGTAAAGGTCCGAAAAATAATGACCTTTTTATTCCATTGCTACTTGGCCATATGATTCTAGACTCATAATTGTATAGACCCAATCAACAATCAACGAATGATGTGATCAAAATGGTGGTGAAAATCTTCACTACCCAGGACATTTTCTGTTACCCATTTTAGACTGCGTCCACAGCTGGTATTTTAGTTGACTAAGCCTAGTTTTTCTAGTTTATGTGTTCTGTGTACGTAGACTTACACAACCTATGAAATCCTATAAGATGGAACTTGAACCTCTCAGAATTGATGAGAGCCTTTGTAATTCTACATTCATACTACAGCAACAGCTAAAAGCATATAGGTTGCTAAAGTACATTTAGTTCCAACATGTAATGAATTGCTAAAACTAAAAAAAAACAAAAAAACAAAGAAGTGCCATTTAAAAAGATTAAAAGTGAAAACAAGGGATCTTTTAGAAGCCAGCGGTGCATCAAGTGTAAGAGTCTAGACATATGTTCTTTATAGTATGATAAACAAATTAGGATGCAGAAAGAAAAAGTCGAAACACTAGACATAAAAATCAAAAGCTATGGCTGCAACTCCAGGAATCAAACTTCAAAATGTATGTGTATTCCATTTTTTTAATAGACCAGTCGGCACTTGATGCAACAGCTGCAATTCTTTCTCAGGACATTTATTTCCTAATACCTACTATAGCATGGCAATTCATCTAGGTTTACTTAGGGACCAGAATTTTGGATAATGGGGATTGTCTTAGGCCGAGGCCCCAGCCCCAAGCCTTAGCACAGAAATATCATTAGGTTTAGGTGTAAACAGCGGATAAACATCATGGCACAAGGGTAGTAACCCATAAGTGCTCCATTCTACTTCTAACTGAAGAATCTCAGCACAGTGCATGAACTCTGTAGCACCGGTGAGGATCCTGAAATTCTTTGGGTAGATTTTTAACTCCAAATGTTTCCCGGGCAGCGCTGTTGGGCTACTCTTTTTGATTTCCAACTGCCAAGGGATTTTTTACGCGCACAACAATACATACGGGCATCCAGTCATATTACCCAAAGACCAGGGGTAATTAATAGAGTTCTGAGTGAAAAAATCCCAGCCTTCACCGGAGCCTGAAACGGGGACCTCTAGTACTCGAGGTGTATGCCTTGACTCGAGACCACACAGCACCTAGAAAGATCATTAATACAGTACAGTTGATATGTTATCTGTGGGCCACTTGCTAGGTTTCTAAGGCCCAGATTGAACAGCCCTGCACTTTAGGCTGAGAAGATGTGTTAACTAAAGCCAGTTGATTATGCAGTGCATCCCAGAAATTTCCATACATAGGAAAAATAAAACATTTTTAATAAAAACTATTTTTTTTATATATTATGCTCTAAATGTGCACAGTTGTTTTAAAAACACATTTTGATGTGTGTCCTTCACTGTCGAATAACATATATAAGCACAGCTGAAGTTATGCTTGCAGCGGCATTGGTGATATGGTAATTATTCTTCCTATGTATGGAAACTTTTGGGACACCCTGTATAACATGCAAAAACCTTAGGGATTGCAGGCAAGCGTGTTTTATGAAGTTGCCTAAGTCTACTTTATGTTTTGAACAAATTGTCTCTGCTGTCTTTCACAGCTTTACTGAGAATCAACGCAATTCACTTGCTGTTTAATGACAATGTACACCATTGTTATACTTGTTACCAAGAGCAAGAAAACAATGTATAGGCTACATTAAAGCTTAAGATTCATGCAGACAAAATATAACAGATTCAGCAAGTAAGGCATTCGCCCTGTGTTGAAAACCCTCATTTAAGCTGAAGTACACTGTCTTTAAAGAAATGATTTTTAAATTCACATTTTTGTCTCGAGGTTTTAAACCAAAAAAATCAAGAATAACAATACAGCCTAAAAAAACATTAACTCTTCGATTCCTAGGGGATTTAACATCAGAGGACCATGGGGCTGCAATGCAGTTTTGAAGTCACATGTGTGACACATTAAAACAGACCATACTAATTCAGCTGCCATGGAGTGTATAATACATATTATACATCAAAGTGACCAGGGATTATTGAGGAATTATATTAGAATACTGCTACAACAAATAATTGTGTCAGTAGTTAAATATTAGTAAGTACACTGAAAACATGTTTAGATCAATTAGTAAAAGTGAAGTAATAATCTGTTGTAAAAATTAAGTAATAATTTGTCCACTTAACGTCATCATGTTCACAAAACAACTCGATAGAATGTATAAAAAATGACTCCAAAATTAACATGAACCGTATAGTAACGTATAAATAAAATATAAACACAATCTGTACTTTAGATCTATTTTTTTTTGGGGGGGGGGGGGGGGGGGGGGGGGGGGGGAGAGACACTATAACTGAGCACCATTTTTTTTGAGTAAAGAAACATGACTTCTAAAAAGTATTTTCACCAACAACAACAAAACACTTTATAAAACATTCAGTTTGCCCTTAATGTTATAGTCTATATTTCCAATTGATAAGGGAATCACACTAAACCCGACTGACACTGAGGGAATCCATATTGTTCACCAGTATTTGTTGTCTTTATGCCAGCTGTTGTTGTTATCACTGTTTGCTTTGCACAAGGCACATATTTGAGGTATTCCTCATCAAAATTTGACTCTTTCAATGAATGAAACAAGTTTACGCTTGTACTTCACAACTTTGTTAGTCTAGCTTTGGATAATTCTGATGAACAACATGTTTTATTTAAATCTGTGGCTTCTAAAACCATAAATCTCGTTGGCATGCATGAAAAAGTCTCCTCAGAGGCTCTATTGTTTTAAAACAAATCCTCAAAACTGGGTAAAACTCACAAACATGCTATATCTTGTGCTACGTTTCCAAATAAGTAAAATAGTCAGCACTTTAACATAGGACACAAAGAACAGCAAATACCATTCAAAACTTCTTCTTTCGTTCGCGTGAAATAAATTATCTATATCTGCAATGTTGTCTCTAATATGAACTTCACTGTCTTTTGTAATTCACTCAGCGACCCGTAAAGTTTGACTTGCACTGATGTTTCTCTTGGCCACAAGTTTTGCCTTGATATGTTATATTTGGGACAGTCTTGAGGAACATGATCATGTATGCTAATACATTATGTCCATTGACTTGAGTTCTTTGATACAAGATGGAAAAGTCTGACTAATTAAAAACAGTGTT